TAGGGCGATTTCGTCGATTCCAGCAGCCTTTCCGCTTTTCAAGCTTATCATGGCTTCTATGACTTTATCCACTGAAAGACCAGTATTTTACCCGCTGCACTTCAGGCGAATTTTCCTGTAGTGACTGGGGCTTAGTAGTTCCTCAAACTACCGTTTTCATCTCTAAAATATGATCTCTTTTATAATACGAAGACATTCGGACTTGTCTTTCAAGACTCCCAGACTGCTATTCTTTCCATTTTAAGGCTTCGGATGGTCTGCCAAAATATTTTTTCAGCCATCTGGAAATTCGACTCCTGTGCATAATCGGACTTTTTCCAGGAATCAGCTCTCCGTTTGGCCACTGCGTTCGGCGCCATTATGCACATTTTTTGTTACTGCAATCGAATTGAACGCTTTTGCTTCAAAGCAAATTCTTGTGTGCAACCTTCTTATCACTGACAGCCGGTTAATACTCTTGTTTCCACCAGGAGGTTCTTTTTTGATTTTCAGATGGCAGGCCAACTCGTTTTACACCATGGCATTCGGCGACAGCTCTGAGTAAGCCGCGCTTAAGGTGCTTCGTTTCAGTTTCCACATCGGCGGTCGTCATTGCAATCTGTTCAAATCATCGTGACATATTTTTTGCAAGTTTATCTTCATATCCCCTATCATTATGTTTTCCGTTTCATTCTCTAGTTGTTTCTGGCGCCAGATTTTCGCTTGTTACTCCATCTCTTACAGCGTAGCGTTCCAACAACAAGGCTATGATCGGACGACAGCTGTCCTCTTCTCTTAGCCAGAACATCCATTACAGAGAGTTGTAAATCAGACGATGCGATTATCAAATCGATAGTCGACCTCCGCATACAGGCTTCGCTATTCGAAGCATATTGATGAATATTTCGACGCTGGAAGATGGTGTTCATAATAATCAGTCATTTCACAAAACCACAACAATTTAATACCGTTAATGACGAAGTCGCTAGGGCCGTTCTTTCTAATTGCGCTTTGCACGTTTCAATGGTTGCTCAAGCATTGGCATTGAGCATTGAAGTCGCCAATTAGAATGATGGGTTCCGTAATCAGCACTTCGTTTAGAGAACTTTCTGCTTCCTTTAGGAAGAACTCAAATTCTTTTGCAAAACTGATTGCATATCTGCCGGATGATAGCCATTCTCCGCTGACAGGCTTCCATTCAAACGATTCGTTAGCCAGGTTAGGCTTATTCAGAGCATCAACAGCGGCCGGATCACGGTCGACATCTGAGTAGAATAGCTTCCACCCGTACAAGTCCAGACTTCCACAGCCCTGAGGATTCTTTGACGAGAGTCCAACTATGTCCAGTCGATACCTCGGGGCCTCATCAACAAACGCTTACTCTTCCTCTTTGACTGACACAATGTTCCAGTTATCGGCTGTGAGCTCCCACTGTCAGCATCGTTCCAGTGAATCCTTTTCTGTCCTGTTATAACGACATCGCGCTGTCTGCTTCTTTAATTCAGATCGGGTAGCGATTCCGCTGCCGAGTGGTATCTTCATCGTCTTCTTGCCGATCTTCGGCAGCATTTGCGGTGCTTCTACACCCCCGGCTGCCAGAATGGGTGAAGCAGGTTCTGATCGCCGACTTTTATCAATATATCTCAGTTATCCAACAGCCTAAATGGCCCTTTAGATTTCTTAGCAGTACCATGAGGGATAGGTGGTTTTGTTTCACGGGGCCCTCGTCCGGTTTCTATCTCTCATCGTTTCTCAACCATGCTTGGAACGGGCAAGAGTTGAGTTGAAGTTTCTTTTATTAATTGCTAATTCCCTTGAGCAAAGAACTAGATCCACTGAGCCAGCCAAAAACAAGGAGCAGGGGCTCCTTGACCTGCGAATAATAAGTACAGTATGATGATTTCTTATGGCCATGCCAAATCTTGCGAGAATGCGGCAGTACTATCTGATGCGTGTGACGATCGGCTGCAATTCCCTTTTACGCATATAATACTTTACTAAAAATCAATACAAGATGTAACTGTAAGAAGAACAAACAAAAATTACTTTTCAGAGAAAGAGCAAACTTGCTCTCAAAATGTTCTCAAATTTTTCCACTCAAACTCCGCCATTGCCGGTCCCAAGCCCGGATGAGAAAGGAGAAGGCTTGGAGACCGTAGCAAGTCTCCGTAAAATTCAGCCACCTTCCACTCATGGTATTGACGCCTTCGAAAATTACACCGGCTCGGTCGTCGCCCGGATAACCAAGGGCCGCGCAGGCTGTTGGGGGACTGAGGCAGACTGC